CCCTCACGCACACCCCCCTGCGGCCCCGCCCGCCCTCCGCAGAGGCCGGCCCAAGTCTCACCGTGAGCCCCGGGAGCGGCCTTGGGGCGCTGGGAGAGAAAGGGGAGCCGACTCTGGGGCTCAGACCGGCCGAAGGGCGCTGCACAAGGAGCTAGCTGCTAGGCCCTCCCGACGCCTCGACACAGACACAATGAGTCACAAAGGCCGGAAGTGTGTCAGCACCTCGTCTTCCGGGATTGCGCTGAGCTTCCGGGTCCTCTCTAGGAGCGCGGGAGGATTTTGCTACTTGGTTCCCTGGGTAGCTGGGCTCCACGCCGGTTCTCCGATGGGTGATCAAGCCTCCAGCTTGGAGTTTCCTGCCATCAGCTCGTGGGCCCCGAGTGAAAGCTGGGGACCGACGAGAAGGGGGTCCAAGCTTTATGACATATAAACAGACTGTTCAGCTCAGATGCCAATTCATATGAAAATTCGGTTTCTCCTCTCTTCCATCTCAAGTAGTCCTTGTAATAATTACAGTTATTATCAAGCATTAATTATATGTCTGTGGCAGAGGAACTGAAACAAGGGTGTAGACAGGAGAAGATCAAAGTGAAGCCAGGGGTGGCTGGTTTCACAAAGCTGCCCTGGTAGCTTCTCGTGGCCCCTGGAGATGTCTGCCGATTAAGTGGTTGGTATTTTCAAATACCTGGCGGGTGGACAAAGGTCTTTCCACAACCAAGTTAGTTAGAAGGTTCTGTGTTTTGTTTATGTGGCACATGCTATTATAGCAGTTTTCATAGTAAGGGTGTTTTCATAGTAAGAGAGTTTTCATAGTAATAGCAGACACTTTTACCTTCAAGATACTCTACAACCTATAATTATGGCCTTCACCTTTACCTGGCAGAAGTTGCTCCACTTTATGTGCAAGAGCGACCACTGGCTTTCGTGTTTGCGACTTTGCTCTACCCGTTCCAAGACGAGTTCATGGAGAGACTAAACTCAGAAGCTTGGTGGCATGACTGAAATTGCTTGGGGGAGATTATTTTCTGAAAAATATGTGAAAACTAAAAAGCAATTACAGTATCATTAAATGAAAGTTGCAAAATGGAGAAAGATAGTAATCTGTAGTGCCTCCACCCTAACCTGAGTAGGATGGCTTTACCTTTATCCCTTTCCTATCTATCTTCATAGATAGGCTATATAGTTTTAATTTATTATTTTAGACATAGTTGAAAACTATAGTTGTATTGGATAGGTGGTAACGACCACATTCATGCTATATGGCCACTTTTTGGACAAAAGCTGATTGGATTAGGTTTGGTCACCTGATGGAAGCACAATTACCTATGGAATGCTAACCTCCGGATCTACAGAGGTGGCCTGGCTTGAGAGCTCTGACTAATGGAACAATAGATCCCCTTTCTTTGGGCTGTTTAAATGTGAGACACACAGAGAACTGGGGCAAGCAGAAATCAGTAAGCAGAAGCCACTAGTTGACAGAAGCCATGAAGCCATGGAAGTCATTAGTAAGCAGAGCCTTGAGAGAAAACAAACTGAGCTATAGACACAAAGACAGGTGCAGCACATGGCACAACAGAGCTCGCAGCAGGAGCCCAGCGGTCGGTCATACTTAGGGCCACAGCATAATGGAGGTGACAGCATGAATAACCTTCAGGCCCCAAACGATGTTTATTCTCTGCATTGTTTGACTTTGCTGTCGATGCCATTATGTCCTGTCTCCTCATCTTCCCTGTGTGTCCTTAGAATAAACCAGCAAAAGAATCTAACTTTGTTCCTTGCAACCTGGAAAAGCCCAAAGTGATAATCATATGTATTACTTAAAAATGCTTAATATCGTATCATTAACATTTTAAAGTTTGCTACACAGAATGGATAATTATCATTTTAATAGCCATATAGTAACCCATTGAGCAGCTATAGCATTAAGTATTTAATAATTCCTCTATTTCTAGACATGTAGAATACTCTAAAATTTGGCTACTTTATGAACTATTTAATTGAAGATTTTTGTACAAATACATTTGGCTAGAACAGTGTTCTAAGCCAGGGAAGATCTTTCCCTTGGGGACATTGCAGTGTCTGGAGACAGTATCTTGGTTGTTACAACTGTGTGTGTGTGAGATGGGGGGTTGGGTTGGGGGCATGCTCCTACTGGCATCTAGTGGGTAGAGGCCAGGGTGCAACTCAGCATCCTACAATGCACAGGGCAGCCCTCTTGCCTGCACCCCCACAGAACAATGAGTTACCAGGTCTGGATGTCAGCAGTGCCAAGGCTGAAAAACCCAGATCTAGACCTTAGCAAAACAGAGATGAATTTTAGGGATTAACTCGGTGTTACCTGGTCTTCGTGAATCCTTGTTGGTTCTTAATCAGCACCACTTTTCAAAGGTTATATTAACATACACTTTTTTTGGCAAGAGAGAATCCTCTGATTGAATAGACATTCACCCCGACTCCCCCGCCTCGTGTGAGTCCCCTCCCCTCTCCGGGACCGACAGGGGTGCCCTGCTCCAAGGAGGCATGTCAGGTGCGTTTCCGCTCTGGCAGGTCCTCTCCTATTTCTCAGGATCGCTCACATTCTTGGGGACACTTCAGTTCTGGCTTCTCTCCTCCAGTGACCTCCATCCAGCCGGAGTGACAGGGACCCTGTGGAAGGTTAGGAAGTCATAACAGAAATGTCAGTGCCAAGGGGACAGGCTCAGGAAAGCGGCCGTTTTTCCATCTTTAAATGTGCCCATTCCCATTTAGGGAGGTGTCAGTGTCCCCAAATGAGCATCTCCAAAACCTTGTCATTTCTGGCTCCCTAAGAGTTCCCTTACTTCCCTATCAACTCATTCATGCATTAAAAAAAGGATGCCTTTTGCATGGAATTCATAATTTTTCAGTGTGCTGTATGGAAAAGGTTTCTTTGATCATCTTGTCTGCCATATGGCCAGAAACAGAAGTCCAGGAGATACATATTTAAGACATGTAAGTTTGAAAAATTATAGATGGTATGGTTGGGGAAAAGACAGGCTTAATCATTAAATCTTGAAACATTAGAATGAAGCTCTAGCAGAGTACAAAGGATGAAGACCTTTAGATACTGCTTTATAGACAAGACAGTGAGCTTATGGATTTCATTCCAGTGGGATAAGCTGGAAAAGTGTGGCCCTCAGTGAATCCTTGGGAAATGAATGGCAGGCAGGTAAGGGCAGAGTTGGATGGACTTTTTAGTTGGTTGAATTATCAGACCCAAGTTATCTTTTTTTTTTTTTAAACATATTTTATTGATTTTTCACAGAGAGGAAGGGAGAGGGTTAGAGAGTCAGAAAAACCGATGAGCGAGAAACATCGACCAGCTGCCTCCTGCACACTCCCTAATGGGGATGTGCCCGCAGCCAAGGTACATGCCCTTGACCGGAATCGAACCTGGGACCCTTGAGTCCACAGGCCGATGCTCTATCCACTGAGCCAAACCGGTTAGGGCAGACCCAAGTTATCTTAATAAATTCACATAAACTTTGAGTGGAGTCTCCAGAGTCAGCTACTACTGGGTTCTGTCCTGTTATTTCCTGTACAATAGAATTCTCTTATATGTGTTTCATATGACCTGTTTCCTGTTTTATCAGTGTTATATATGAGAGTGTTGGGGACATAAAATTAAATTTGTGCGTGACCCTAAAGATAATGGCATTCACTAGTATGTTGAAGGTAGGAAAGCAATTCTTGTTCCTCCTTCTCCCTTTCCCCCACAAAAAATAGCAAACAGGGAATGGATGAGTGACAAAGTAATAGGGACCAATGTTCTGCATGTAGGTGGAAAAGCCTACAAAATATCCCTGTGGCTGCCATCCAAGATGGAAAATCAGTCTGGAAAAAATAAGTAAGAAAGGACTGAAAGTGGAAGATGTGGCTTTTTGACAGCAATAGCAGTGAACAGACCTGGGGCTCTTCATGGAGACAAAGCTCAAAGTGAGCTAAGAGTGTGATTCAATAAAAGCCAAACAAATCTTAAGCTCCATGAGCAGCCGTACAGAGTCCAAACATAAAGTGAGAGGCATGCCTTTCTCCATAGTGGTCAGGGCCCCCTGGGTGCAGGGCTTTGCCTTCTGGACACCCTAACAAATCAGAGTGCAGGGAGAGGAGAGTTAGCAGCACAGGAAGGAGCAATGGAAGCTTCTCTGAGTTTCAGCAAAAAGAACAGTGTTTGCTTTGGCTGAAGAGGGGGCTTGGCAGGGGGTGGCCGTGTTAGTGCGCTGGGGCTGCCATACAAAGTACCACAGTTGGGCAGCTTAAACAAAGATGTTTGGTGTCTTCTGGTCTGGAGACTGGAAGTTCAAGGTCAAGATGTCAGCAGGGTTGGTTTCTTCTGAGACCTTTCTCCTTTTCTTATAGATGGCCTCCTTCCCCTGTGTGTGTCTGTGCCCTAATCTCTTCTTCTTTGAAGGACACCGGTCATGCTGGATTAGAGTCAACCTATGTGTCTTTATTTTAATTTAATTACCTCTTTGCAGACCCTATCTCCAAATACAGTCACATTTTGAAGTACTAGGGGGAGGGGGCACAATTCAGACTATAACAGTCCCTGAATCTTGCCTCCTCACGTGGAAAAGGAAATAGATTTCTCTTTTGAAATTCCTGCAAACAATGCAAAGACCACTGTGTGGGAGTTATTAGGAATACCAATCCTGGCTCAATATAAGGAAAAGCTTTGCCTTAGAAAGGGACGGTGTCAAAGATGGTCAAAGAGTGTGGGGGCGGGAGTGACAAGTGAGGGGGAATAAAGACACATATGTAATACCTTACTCAATAAAGGACAGAGCAGCTTACAGGTACACGGAGGTACTCTGCACGACCACAAAAGCGGCCACAAAGAGCTTTATGTACTCGGTGTCAAGCTGACGGTTTACTTTTTGCAAGCGATGTATCTCTCAGTGACATTCTCCCAGTTGATTATATTCCAAACAACTCCCAGGTTGTCAGGCCTGACGTTTTTATGCTGGAGGTAATAAGCATGCTCCCGCACGTCAGTCCCCAGGAGTGGAATAAGAACTGTTGCTCCGTGAAGGGGGTCCTGGTTAGAACAAGCTGCAATCTGTAAGCGTCCTTGTTCCTTATGGAAACCAAGCCAACCCCAACCTGAGCCTTGAACGCCAGCACACAGTGGTCAACTTCTCCTTAGATGTGGCGAAGGAACCAAAGTCATGTTTGATGGCTTCCAGCAATTCC